TGATCCGTCCACCTCAGCCTCCCAAAATGCTGGGATTACATGTGTGAGCCACCATGCCTGGCTGTCAGTTCAAGTTTTAAAGACTTTGTCGTGTCATGCTGTTTGGATCTGTCTCAAATGTGCTATTCTGTGACCTTGGCAGTAGTTAACCCCATAGTCAGTTCCCAAAGCCTTTGGTATGCTGATCAGGGTCAGATTTGTACAGCTCATAAGCGAGCCTAAGAGTTTATATACCACCTTATAGGATTTCTCCCTTGAGTTTTCTCTCCATGATTTCCTCAGAATTATCCATGTCCTTAGGGTCCCCCTTCCTGGTTTTCTGGCTAGAAAATACAGGCCCCTTCCCTGCTATGCAGTTCCTGTAATTGTATCTGCATCTGTTATCAAGCAGCAAGAGGACAAAGAGAGGAGAAAAGTAGTGAGGATATTTCCCCTGTTAATGAGACCACAGTGCCTTTGGTAGGAAAATGATTCCCCTCCTTCAAAGTTTTAGTTACCACCTTGCCACTGTTGCCACTCTGGCACTTCTGCTTCCATATAGCAGCCTGGGGGTTGGAGCAGGAAGGAACATAGGGAAAAATGAAAAGAAAGGGATTTTCCTCACTCTTTGATCCTTAGGAGTTTCTTTTTTCATATCTCAGCAGAAAATGAATCTACCTTGATATTAATATTGTATTCTGGCTCTCTTATGCCTAGTATTTACATGAAGTATCATTTTCTATTTTTTTTATTTTCCAGCCTGTGTCTTTAAATGTGATTTCTTTTAGATATTTGTAATTGACTCATTTTTATCCATTCTGACATTCTTAAACAATTTAAAATGTAATGCATAAGTTTTTCCATATTATGATTTGTTTTCTATATGTCCTGTTTCTTGTCTCCCTTTTCTGCTTTTTTCCTGCCTTCTTTCCAGTTAGTTTTGTGCATTTTATTTCATTTTTCATTTTATATTTACTCTTGGCTTTTGTTTATTTTCTTTGTGTTTACTCTGGTTTACAATATACAATTTCATCATCTACCTTCAAATATTTTACTACTTCCCATGTAAAATAAGACTGTTACAATAATATACTCCCATTTCTTCCTATCTTTTTGCTACTGTTGTTAAAATTTTACTTCTATCTTTGTTATAAGCTCTGCTTTTTTTTTCTTTAAACAATCAAGTATATTTAAAAGACATTAAACAATGAGGAAAAGTCTCCTTGGTTAACCCATACATTACTATTTACACTCTTTTTTCCTTTATGTAGATCTAAATTTTCATCTGGTATTTTCCTTTCTCCTCAATAACTAAGATCTCTTATAGTACAGATTTTTAAGGCTTCTTACAATGCAGGTCTGTGGGGAATTAATTCTTCTTTTGTCTCATAATGTTGCTATTTTGACTTCGTTTTCTCTGAATATAGAACTTTAGGTTGACAAGTTTTTTTCCTGTCTTTATTTTGAAGATGTTATTCCATTGTTGCCTGGATTGAATACTTTCTGGCAAGATGTCAGTAGTCATGTTTATAATGTTTCCTTTATATGAAGTGACCTTTTTCTCTGGGTGCTTTTAAATTTTCTCTTTATCATTAATTTTCAACAAGTTAATTATGCTTTGGTGTGGAGTTTGTGTATCATGTCTAACGGGTTTTCATGAAGTTCTTAAATAGGTGGGTTTGTAGTTTTTATCAGTTTAGGAAATTCTAGTCATTATTCACATTTCTTTTTCTGTTTTGTTCTCTTTTTTGGTGTTCCTCCTTGGTACTCCAGTTATACATGGTTGATTACATGATATTGTCCCAGGGAGACTTAGTTTATTTCATTATTTGTTTCATTTTATGTAGATTCTGATGCTGTGTCTTAAAGTTTATTAGTCTTTTCTTTTCTTCTGCAGTATATAATTTGCTGTTAATCTATCCAGTGAGAAATTTTCATTTTATATAATGACTATTTTGTGTCTAGAATTTTCATTGCACTCTTTTTTATATCTTCACTTTTCTCATACTTTTTATTTCCATTAAGTTCTTATACAATTACATTTGTGTCCCTGGTCTATAATTTCTGCCATTTCTGAATCTGTTTCTGTTGGCTAATTTTTCTTCTGAGTATGACATCTTATTGTGATCTTTGTAATTTTTGATAAGTGGAACATTTTGAGTGTTACATTGTTGATTGTCTGGATTTTATATTTCTTTAAAGTATGGCAGGCTGTTTTTTTTTTGAGACAGGGTCTTGCTCGGTTGCCCAGTATGAAGTGCAGTGATGTGATCATAACTCACTGTAAAACCAAACTCCAGGGCTTAAGTGATCCTCCTAACTCAGCTTCCCATGTATCTGGGACTACAGGTGTGCACTCCCATACCTACCTAATTTAAATAATTTTTTGTAGTGATGGAGTCTCATTATGTTGCTGAGGCTGGTCTTGAACTCCTGGCCTCAAGTGATCCTCCCACTTTGGCCTCCCAAAGCACTACAATTTCAGGTGTGAGCCACTGTGAGTTCAAGAGTGGCAGGCATGTAAGTTACTTGTGGATCACTTTGATTCCTTTGAGCGTTTTTGGTTTTTTTCTTTAGCATTAATAGCATGCATCTAAAGTAACTTCTACTTGAGGGTTAGTTCAGCTGTATTTCAAAGCTTGAAATGCTCCTTTATTGATGGATGCAGTGGCTCAAGCCTGTAATCCCAGCACTTTGGGAGACTGAGGCAAGCAGATCACAAGGTCGAGATCGAGACCATACTGACAACATGGGGAAACCCCATCTCTACTAAAAATACAAAAATTAGCTGGGTATGGTGGCGCACGCCTGTAGTCCCACCAGCTACTCAAGAGGCTGAGGCAGGAGAATCTCTTGAACCTGGGAGGCCGAGGTTGCAGTGAGCCGAGATTGCACCACTGTACTCCACCCTGGCTACAGAGCGAGACTCCGTCTCAGAAAAAAAAAAATGCTCGTTTATTTATCCAGCCTCGATGAGTTTTACCCTATGCATACGTCTAGAACAGTAAAGACTGAAGGACATTGACAGGCAGGTATCTGGAGATTGTTCTTTGTATAGCTCCCTTCTCATCAGAATTCAGCCCTACAACCTCCAGCGGTCCAATCTCCCTAAACTCTAACTTAATGTCCTCAATTTAGCAATTATGTTCTTCCTCTGCATCTGCTGTCAAGAAGGGGTTGCCAGTTAGAAAGTTTGAATCAGTTGTAGGGATCACATCTTGGAGATCACATCTTGTCTGTGGTCTTGTATCTGTGAATATTCTCTTCATTTATTTTGCTCAGTTTCCTAATTGTTTATGATTGGTGGCTAGAAGCTATATTAGTATTAGTACTGGTATCTTAATTTGCCTCCCTCTTATTGCATGTTTTTTAAAAATAAAGAATATTAGAATCAGCTCTCTTGATTAAAAATATCCTATTTGTGTGTAATGCTGTTACGGGTAGATTAATGTAGGGAGAACTGGTATCTTGATGGTATTCAACCTTGACAGCCAAGTGAAGTAGCATATATCTTTATAATTTTATCATGTTTAGTATCCATCTATTCCTATTTTGAGTTTTACCAAAAACTGATGTGTACTTTCTTATGTCTTTTCTTTTTGTATCAGAGTAGTCATGAATTTTTTCTTTGCTCTATTAATGTATATTTATAGATTTCCTGTAGATTTATACCTTTCTGATATAACAGGAATTCCTTAGTACATTATTACTTTAAATAAACTACATCTTATATGCGTTACTTTATTTTGGATTTTTGCATAGATACTTGATTACTTTTGACGACTTTAAAATTCAGATTCCAAGCCCTCATTTAGAATCTTTAAATAAATAGGCTTTGAAAGTCTTGAAAGGGGAAGAATTTTCAGAATGTATGAGGTAAATGCATTATTGTGATCCTTGGTTACTTTTAACACTAACATTTATTTTAATGTATTAATGTTCATATTCTTGTTTGAAAATAATTGGTAAAAGAATCATTTTGTAATTCATTTTGCTTGTATGACAGGTATTTATTTTTTTACGTAAAGAGAAGTAGGCTTCTCGGCTGGGCAGGTGGCTCATGTGAGCCTGTAGTCCCAGCATTTTGGGAGGCCAAGCTGGGAGGATCCCTTGAGCCCAGGAGTTCGAGACCAGCTTGGGTAACATGGTGAAATCCCATCTCTACAGAAAAATACAAAAATTAGCCTGGGCAAGAGAATGAAATCCTGTCTCAAAAAAAGAAAAGAAAAAAGAATTAGGCTTCCTTTTATTAACTCTTTTCAATAGCATGTGCTTGTGTGTTATAAAATATAGGTGAAAACTGTTTGTTTTGGTTTTTTTGTTTTTGGGTTTTTTTTTTTTTTTTTTTTTTTTGAGACAAGATCTCATTCTGTCACCAGGTTGGAGTGCAGTGACATGTTTTTGGCTCACTGCACCCTCAACCTCCTGGGCTCAAGCAGTCCTCTCATTTCAGCTTCCAGAGTAGCTGGGACCACAGATGCGTGCCATCACCCCTGGCTTATTTATTTAGTAGATATGGAGTCTGTGTTGCCCAGGCTAGTCTCGAACTCCTGAACTCAAGTGACCCACCCAAAGTGCTGGAATTACAGGCATGAGCCACCACACTTAGCCAAAGCCTGCATTTTTAAGTATAGATTTATCAGAAAACAAATTTAACCACCCATCTCAATATAGAACTGTCTCATTCACCCTGGGAATGGTGGCTCATCCCTGTAATCCCATGATTTGGGGAGGCTGAGACAAGGAGTTTGAGACTCGCCTGGGCAACATAGTGAAACCCCATCTCTACAAGAAATAAAAAATTAGCCAGACTTTGTGGCGTGTACCTGTAGTCTCAGCTAAGTAAGGCTGAGGTGGGAGGATCACTTGAGCCCAGGAGATTGGGACTGCAGTGAGCCATGATTGTGCCACTCTACTCCTGCCTAAGCAACAGAGCAAGGCTCTGTTTCAAACCCCTCCTCTGCCCAAAACTGTCTAATTCTATATAACTCAGTTACATGAGATGTTTTTCCTTCTCACAGGTTCAGTTTAATTTGCAGTTTACAAAACCAAATGCATCACTAGGAGACGTTCAGTCAGGAGCAACTATTAGTATGCCTTGCTCAACTGATAAGGAAAAGTAAGTACTTAATGACATAAACTTTAATGTTTGCAATTTTGAAGGCCATCTTAAAGAATTTTTCTCAGTGCTCGAGAGCTGTGATACCCACCTGTCTACCTGAGACATTGCAAGTTAGTGATCAGTGGAATTTAAGTTGAATCACTCTTAGCTATAAAAAAGAGATTTCTCCTATTTTTTCTGTTTCCTCCTCCAACAGTCTACTCATTTTTTTTAATGTGGGATATGCTTGGATAGTAAAATTTTGTTTGTTGAAAGAGATTTTCCTACATAACTCAAGACTGGTCTTTCAGATATTCTCAGATATATTCACAGAAATTTTTAAAAATTCCTCATGGTCAGCTGTTTTTGTTTTCTTATATGGCTATGTCTGCCCCTGGAAGCTCTCCATTTTTCTGATTTATTGCTTTCAGTATAATCTAATCTAAAATACCAGCTAGTTAATATGCTAGAAATATGCAGAGAATTAGTAAAAAGGTTTGTGAGATTTTCCTATAGATAACATAAATAAGCTTTAACGCCATTTTGCGACCCTAGGTTTTAAACAGGGTTTACATAGTGAAGTCTGTTGATTCAGTGACTTCTGGTTAAATCAAACCATTCATACAGACAAACTTTTCTCTCTGGGTAGACTTCATGTTTGTAATTTATTATTACTAATATAGTTATTTATTAAATTTAATGACTTTAAGGCCTGTCTGCCAATAATCATCATGAGCTATCACCATCCCAGTTCTACATTACAAACTAAATTACTAACATAGCTCAAAGAGGGTTCCATCCCCAGCTCTCAGCTTTTATTCATTGGATCATGATGTGCTAAAATAGTTAATAATATTTGTGGCTGGTCACAGTGTCTCACGCCTGTAATCCCAACACTTTGGGAGGCCAAGGTGGGTGGATCACTTGAGGCCAGGAGTTCAAGACCAGCCTGGCCAACATGGTGAAATCCCATCTCTACTAAAAATACAAAAATTAGCCGGGTGTGGTGGGCACCTGTAATCTCAGTTACTCAGAAGGCTGAGGCATGAGAATCGCTTCAACCCAGGAGGCAAGAAGTTGCAGTGAGCCGGTTGCACCACTGCATTCCATCCTGGGCAATAGAGCGAGACTCTGTCTCAAAAAAATAAAATAAATAGAAAAAATAATTTTAAAAAGTATTTGTGAGCCTCTATTTTTTAAAAAGATCAAAATTCACTTGTTCACAGGGAGAGTACCTTGAATTCCTGTTAATGGTAGCATATCATAATGTTTAGTATATTTAATTCATCATAGGTTAGGCATAGTGGTGTACGTACACCCGTAGTCCCAGCTACTCAGGAGGCTGAGGCAGGAGGATCACTTGAGTCTGGGAGGTTTGAGACTGCAGTGAGCCATGATCCTGCCACTGCACTCCAGCCTGGGGGCCCTGCCTCAAAAGAAAAAAAAAAAAAGCCAGACAATGTGGTACATGCTTGTAGTCCCAGCTGCTTGGGAGGCTGAGGGATCACTTGAGCCTGGGAGTTGGAGTCTGTAGTAAGCTATGATCAGTCACATCACTGCACTCCAAACTGAGCCACAAAGCAAGAACCTGTCTCAAAAAAAAAAAATTATAGAGCAGTTTTACTAGCAGAGAATATGACAATCATATTTGTAGTATGAAGTCAAACATAACCATCTGTCCATAAAATTAGGACTGTTCAGTGATTTTGACTTTTTTCTGGTTATTTTGTCAGCTAGCAAAAAGTGGCACCAGGTGTCAAACATTAAAGAAAAAAATAAAGTAGAAAAAAAATCTATTCACCCACTTATTTTCTGAAAATTGGGTCAAGAGCAGCCATCAGTTAATTTTAAGGACTGATTTATTCTCATTGTTTTGCAAGAGCCTTTAACTTTTTACAAGTAATACTAGGGAAACCGTTAACACTGGACAGATTTAGAAAAGATGGCAGTGGTAGAAAGGGGAAACATACAGAAATGCCCTTCTTTCTCCCCCTGATTTTCTCATTTGTATTTATTTGACCAGAATTTATTATTATGGAATGTGTATTAATATTTGGTCATGACTACTTTGAAGCAGTAGAAAATTTTGAAGAGCTTTTGGTCAAAGGAAAAAAATCTTATTTTAAATATGAGTTAGAAATTAATGGTGTTACTCTCAAGGCATGTATTTTTCTGTCATGTATCACTTATGTGCTAGTATTTAAATTTTTACAGCACTTGTAGAATTTTCATTTTTCCCACCATCTTTATCCCAGCTCTTAAGATTTTATTATAATCTACTATTTACTGAGGATACTTTGGTTTATGTATAAAATTACCATTTGCTTAAGAAACCAGTGAAGAATGTGTTCTGAACAAAGCTAAGCTATAAATAGAACTTAGTTACATTATCTTGCATATGTATATATATGAGATAAACCTTCAAAATTAATAAAGACTTTGTTAAATAATTACCATTTTCTTTTTAAGTAGTGAAAATTTAGGGTTGGAATCCAAATACCTGAAGAAAAGGGAAGACAGCATTCCTTTACGCGGACTCAGCCAGAACCTATTTAGTAGTTCAGGTGAGCAGGGATTTCTGGATTTTGTACTCTCTAGTTTAATTAAATGTAATGTATGAAGACTTAATGAATACCACTAACTTCTTTTTGTCCTCATTTGCAGACCATCAGAGAGATGGCACTTTAGGAGCATTACAGGTGTCTTCCAAACCCACAGTGCTCCCCTCGGCATCTTCAGCATATTTCCCTGGGCAGCTACCAAACAGTTAATTCTAGTGTAATGTTTTACTTTTTACTGATATTTTAGAAACTCAGGTGCTTAAAAATATGTCAACACGAATCAAATCCTAAAATAGCAAGTTTCAAATTTTACTTGAGCTGTTGAACTAGATCCTTTAAGTACTGCTATCTTTTATGGCAGTTTATAGGAACAGATTTGTACTTGGGGATTGGTAAAGCTTGTGAGTAAATGACATTTTTTGGTTTGTGAACATGGTGTTTTATAGAATAATAATATGTATTTTATTAAGCTATTCTTTAGAAATTCAGTTCTAAGGAAAGAGTTGATCCTTATAAGGGAGATTTCAATCATATTGAAAATCTGGGTAAAGTAAAACCTGCTCATAACCTCATAGTATGCAACCAAAGTATGCTAATTCATTTTATCACTTTCATTGGTAAAGCAAAACTTTTAAATTCAACACCTGAAAATTTTGAGGGAAAATGATTATCTCCTGAGATATCTATATTATTGATGACATTTAAAGGGAAAAGTCCTAAATTTACCTTAAATAACTGAAATGAATTAAGCCTTCGTAGCATATTTTCCTTGAAACATTTAAATTTGCTACTGATGAATCAAATAAACTTGATATACTTAAAAAAAATTTGGACAGTGTATTTGTGACCAGATTAAGTGCTTTAGTCATTTGAGCTGAAAAGTTTTTTAAAACTTAGTGCTTCCTAAATGTTTATACTCATCTAGTTTTTCTCAATTTGTAGTTTTATTATGCAGTTAAATCTCTATCAGTGGAATTTTAAAACTTGGTACTACTACTAAATCTGTATCATGAATGATTCATTTATTTTTGTAGTATCAACTTGGGTTGATTTCAATGTTAATAAACTATGCAAAACAAGTAACTGTTAGAAGGTACAATTTTCTTCTCTTCCCTGTAACTAAGTTTTAAGAATTGTTCCTTTGGAAAAATTGATTTTAAAATTCACCCAGAATCATAGGGCCTCATTTTGTTTTCTTATTGACAAACAATACCTGATAGCATTCGCTAGAGTCTTCCAAATCAATGTTTGTAAAGTACTAATGCTCATGTGGTAATTTTAAAATTAGTTTCAAATACTTTATTATACAGATGAAGAAACATTTCAAGATATTAATGATATAATAATGTTACTGAGTTCCATGGTAAGAATCTTTGCTAAATTTTTTTATGAAGCCAGTATCTTGAAACTACTGGCAATTGAAAGTGTCTTAAACTATGGATCTAATCTGAAAATTCAATAACTAATATTAGGCAGTGATACTCCCCCTCCCCCCCCCATTTAAATATACTACTGTATTAGTGAGAATACTTGGTAGAGTCACTTGAAAGCACTTGCTATTCTGGAAAGAAGCTTCTTGGTGATTTTGGAAGGGGCTTTGTTGTAAATACTATGTAATATATATAAAATATTATGACAGGTTTTGGATGTGATGCATGACATACAGGTAGCTCTCTTTTTTTAAATATAGATCTCTATCTCTTTGCATATATATACACAAGGAAAGTTGAATTTTCAAAAAGATACCATGCTATCATCTTGCAGATTTTTTTGTATTAAATGTATATAGACTTCCAAGTGTGCTAATTCTTTGCTCTACCTCTTAAACTTTTAGTTGCAATTGTTTTGCAGTGTAAAATTGTACATGTGTTAATAATCAAAGTGTTGCATTTAATGTTATTTCTGTAAACTCTGAGCTTTGTTAATAAACTATTATACAGCATCTACACTTTGAAAGTCAAGTACTTCAAAGCTAATCTGCATACTTACTGCATTTTTGTTTCTTTCCTCTTGTCTTCCTTGAAGCGTATTTTTTAGTGAGGGAAAAGAAATGGATGCAAAGAATGAATAATGCTTTGATTTGTTACTGTAAAAATGAGTATGGTAACAAAGCCAAAACAGGCCCTATAGGAACTCACAGATCAAGACTTTTTTTTAAAAAAAAAATCATTAAAATATTTAACTTTATTAACAGAATATTTACATTTCTTTTAAGACCTTATTTAACCATAGTGAGTGTTCCAAGTTTAAAAAGCATTAAGCAATAACCACACACAAGATGAAAACAGTGTAAACTATACAGTACTTTATATACAATTTTTACAAAGTAACACTTTTTTAAATAATATAACTGGACACAAAAATATACACTTTAGAGAAATTCACATCAGTAATTGTATAAAGCTCTCCTCTAGGGTCCTGAAAATTTAGGACAAACATTAGCTCTGTAAATAAAGTGTTACTGTGACAGTCCTGAAAGGCCACTATATATATTTATCTACATATAGATATCACATTGACATTTTCAAGGCTACCAGCTTTACTATATAATTTTTAGATTATGTATTCAAGTGTTGAGGTGCTTATGATTATGCAAACATTAAAAGAATAGTGGTATAAGAAGTAGCTGGGGAACAAATTTGAGCCAGCATTTAGATTTACAGGCTCTAAACACCCCAATTTAAATTCTAAATGGCTGATACTTTCTCACTTCAAAAACAGTAGTGAATAATGTTTAAAAGTACTGCAAACAAGCTTGAAACATGATTCAGATTTAGTACAGTTTTCTTAAGAGTTTTTTTTTTAAATGCAAACAATTCATTTACCATTTCTTTGTTTTAGTGCATCTGCATTAAGGCTTTGAATTATTTGACCCAAGATTTTACAATATTAAAATCTGACTCAAAATTTTACAATGTTAAAACAAATAGGTCCACAACCATACTACCTACTCTGTCTCACTGAGTCAGCATAGAGTTAAAGCTCAACACCTTAAGGAAATGGTAGCAGAGACATTTGCTAATATCTAAGAAGTTACATACATAGTTTTTAATTAAAGGATGTATAATAAAACAAACAGCTTAGTGGCAAGAAATTGGTGCTAATAAACAAAAGGTTTTTCAAAAGAAATTGTAACATCTTTGGAAAACTGTCCGGTTCTTTAAGTTCCCACTTCCTTTAGTTCCCACGGAGTTCATGCAGATACAGTTCTTAAGACAATCTTAAAGTACACTGTGGATGGAAATGGAATGTATATCCAGAACTAGAGGTGAAAACTAAGACCTGGGTGCTGATAGAAAAATCTTCCTGATTTCAGTCGTCACACATTTGTGTCCTGGAGTAAAGGTTCTTTGGCCTCTCCTGGCGCTTGTGTACTATGAGGATGGCTGTGACTGCCACAGTGCTTTCTCCAACTGCTGGACCTTAAGCTTAAATTGGTATGTTCCGGAATAAACAAGGCAACAAGCAGAGCCAGCAGTACTGAACAGGCTCCAAATAGGAAGGGAGGGCCAGGGATGATGGAATTCTGAGGAAGAATAAAGTAATTAGGATTTTTACACAAGTACTTTTACTCATAAGGAGAAACTGCATACCTTTTAGTATTACGTTACGAATTGCAAGCTAATTGCTCTTCTCTTTATTAAAGCCATAAATATAAAAGGCATCCCCTTTTTAGGATAAAAGAGATACTATCACATTCTCTATAAAATTCTGGGAATAACAACTGGCAAAATAAGACTATGCAAAAATATTATATCATTACTTTCAGCACAAAATGTGAACACAGATGTTCTATGATTAATTTGTTAGTCCAAGGGGAAAACATTTATAGAAAGATCTCAAAAATAAAATCAGGCTGTGCGTGGTGGCTCAAGCCTGTAATCCCAGCACTTTGGGAGGCTGAGGCAGGCAGATCACTTGAGGTCAGGAGTAGTTCGAGACCAGCCTGACCAACATGGTGAAACCTCGTCTCTACTAAAAATACAAAAAAAAAAATTAGCCAGGCATGGTGGCATATGCCTGTAATCCCAGCTACCCGGGAAGCTGATGTTACAAGAATCGCTTGAATTCGGAAGGTGGAGGTTGCAGGGAGCCAAGATTGTGCCACTGCATTCCAGCCTATGTGACAGAGTGAGACTGTCTCAAAAACAACAAAAAAAACTAAAAAACAAAATCAGGTAGCATACAGTATTTACTATGGTAGCAGAATAAATGACCACTTCTTTGTTTCAAGAAGGTAATTATAATTTCAAATGACTGAAAGTAAAAAAAACACAGGTTACCAAGAAAAACAGACCTTTGTTTTAGCCCAAAATTACATTCATTCTTAGCAGAAGCTTGCACTGCCAATTTTAATTTGTATATGGCCCACAAACATTCTTTTATTTAAAAGTAGTCTTAGTGGGTTGGAAGATTAGTGCAGACTCGACTAAATAAGCCAGGAAACTGATGAGCTGCTAATATTGGCCAAAATGATCAGCACTGTTTGGCTTTAATTTTCAGTTGAAAGGAGGGAAATATAGCAAACAAGTGAACAAAGGTATTTACCAGCACATAAGCCTGCCTTTTGTATGAAAAGTCAGTTATACGGAACTGTGACATTAGACAAGTTTCAAAAGAGAGACTAGTAGTATAGAGAAATGGTTTATTACATATGCCATTGACAAATTAGGTTGTTTAAAATTTTTCATTCTCAAGCGGGAAAAAAAATACGCACAGCCAATTTTCACAAGGCGGTATGTAGAAGAACACAGTCCCTTAAACTCTGGTTTTTAAGCATTTTATTCAGTCTCAAATAGAATCTCACATAAAAGTTTTCATGACCAAAAACCAGTATCTTTTAATCTAGCCAAATGAACTCTACAATTTGATCATGTGAATGAGAATTACCTGTTCAAAGTGGTGCTGAGGGCTTGTGTTTGTTCCCAAGTCTGTTCCTGTTATTGGCAGTTCTTTAAGTTCCACATGGAATATGTAGAAAATGAATCCATAGAGGGCCGGTCCCAGACCATTGCATAATCCTCGAATTCCCGTTATCATTCCTTGAACGACACCTACATTGTTTAAACAAATTATCACTTAGTAAACTACATATTTTTTCCCCTACCCTAGAACCAGTACAAATATGAAATCACTTAATCTAAAATCAAGGTTCTTACCAGACACTAGCAATTTACAGCAATGTCATTAGAAACTATTAATATTTAGAAGCTATCAGCTCTACAAAGTGCAGTAAGCTGTCCTATGCAAACATGAGCCTGGATGTACCGGTGTATAGGTCTAACGTAGAAACAAGTGGGCAAAACCACTTTATGCCCTAGATTACAGCCTTCAACACATGGCTGGTTAAAAAGCAGTCACGATTTCACAACTACGAATGTTAAAATTTCTCTGTCCCCAAGCAACTACTGAAGACCCCTTTTAGTCAAGAGTTCTTTTAGTCTGGAGTTCAGTGGCCTGATTTTGGCTCACTGCAACCTCCGCCTCTGAGGCTCAAGTGATCCTCCTACCTCAGCCTCCCAAGTAACTGGGACTACAGGCGTGCGTCACCCTGCCCAGCTAATTTTTGCATTTTAGTGATGGGGCTTCCCTATGTTGTCCAGGCTGGTCTCCAACTCCTGAACTCAAATCTGCCCACCTCAGCCTCTTGAAGTGTTGGGATTACAGGTATGAGCCACTATGCCCAGTCTCATCGGTAAATTTTCTAAGAACAGAACAGATAAGCCACATATTCTAAGTGAGAGAAAAGGGAACATGTATCTACCTAAGGATAAATACCCTAGAATCTGCTTTTCCTGTTTATATCAAAAGCAATTTTAAAATTCTCTACCCTGAAGATATACTTATGTTCAGTACACAGGAGACAGAACACAGGATTAGAACATTCTGTACTTTTACATAATTATCGCTGGTTCCCATCAACTCACCCTGTTGATCAGCATCAGCAGTTCGCGAAACAAGTGCACTGACGGCAGGAAAGGTGATGCTAGACATGGCCGCTACTGCCCCAGCAGCCCACATCATCCTGCAATGAAAGCAGCAAAACCAAAACAGTAACTTCTTCTCCACTGTACCTGAAAGTCAAACTACATACTTAACTCATTCTTACTGTGAAATGGCTGTAGAGAAAAGGAGAACAGAACTTGCTTACTAGGTGACTATGGGCAAGTCGCTTAACAGTCTAACCCTGTATACAAAGGCAGCAACTTAATTCACAAGAGTGCTGTGAGGGTGTCATGTAAAATCGGGGTATCATGTTCCAAATTGTAAAATGTGCTGGGTATTATTTCTACAGGCAGCTGAGAGGTTATATTGAGGATAATGTATGATACAGATGAAGAAACATCATCAAATATTTCCAAACACATGAAGCCAACAAGTCTTTAGCAGAGTTCTTATGGATTTGTGATTCAGTGTGAAGATATCGCTGATTTGATCTAATCCTTCAATTGTAAAGAACAAGTAACTTGGATGTTCCTGGCTTGATGTTTAAAAGAAATGTTTTAGGTAATCCCAATTGTGAGCACCTCTTTGCAAAGGCTAGTCTGGAAAACAAACAGTCACACTCTTGATGCTTACTCCTATCCAAGTCCAAACAGAGACGAGGCAGTGAGCTGTCTGAAATATTAGTGCAAACCATGGAGTCCAGTGCCGTAATGCCTGAGCACAATAACACTATCTACGTGGGCAGCCTGACAAGCACCACTACTCAACGCCCCTGCAGGAAATCCGACTGGGAGGAAAAGCTAAGACACAGCATGAAGCTGGCACCAAAACAACTGGATTGTTTTCACTTCTGGTTTGCTATCAGTAATGATCACTGGTTATACAACTTTCTTTTTCCTAACCGGAAAAGCAAAAAATGTAAATAACGTTCAGGGCCTTGTTGCTGTGGGATTACATACTTTTTCCTAGTAACAGACTGATTTAGATTAAATGCTCCTTAAAGATTCAAAAGCTGTATAATCTCATTCAA